TCTCGGAACATTTTCATCAGGCACAATTCTTATATATGTCAGCTGTCATTATCTGGTAGGTAATAATCATTTAAATGTCGGATGAGTTGTGAACTATGAAGCAATGATCAGGCAAAATTGTTGTTATATAGAGATAAAAATTTCGCATTGGGTAAATCTAAACCATCATATTCTTTTCGCATCATGATGGAAAGTTGCCTCCTTGGTTTATTTGCTGGTAAGATCTTATGTAGAAGAGTATGGGGGTGTTCTCGATTTCCAGTTCTGATGGGTATAAAAAATAAATAACTTATCATTGAAATACAGAATAAAATCAAAACATTATCAATATATATCATATTGAAATTGAAGATCGTTTCACCAAAGCAAGGAAGATATAGTCAACTGAAAAAGGCACAAACCATATTCGTCAGGGCTACCAATGATCAATGATCTGGGAGAAGGACTCCAGTCTTTCATCTACAAACCTATTATGTAAAGCAAGGTCAAAGCATAAGGTCTTTCCGAATGGGTTCAAAGTGAACAACTTGGGACCATGGGCAAAATAACGAGCAATAAACACAACCACCTATGTATTTCACAAAAAAATATAATTTTCCCATCGAGATCATAATAACGACCGTAAAAAATACATAATTTTCATCAATCTGAGTAATTTCGAATAAATGCTTTCCCTCCTATTTGACTTTCTAGTTATAGATACGTACTTCCCCAGGACGTATATGTCACAGATATCACAAAAACGTAACCACTTCAAAATGTTGGTTTAACGACAGTTTTTTTTACTTAAACAGTGATCTTATACTGGTTTCGTGACGTCCCAGGACGTTACAGGTATTGCACATACCTTGACACTGATCGTCTCAGATTAACAATATTTATTCATCGAAAACCCCAAAGGTAAATAGGTAAAATTGTATATCTAAATATTTCATGAACCATAATTATGATAATAAAACACAGATGTCAATTATGCAACAGCAACATGTATTTTTGCCACCCTTTACAAAAAGACTTAGTGAAGAAACTTAAAACCGGGCCCTGCGTACCATACAGTTGTTGTGTCAAGGGTCGTTTTACAAATTATTCATAAGATGCATTTTAACAAATGCATTTAAGTAGTGCAGCAAACGAAACGCCGTAGAAGTCGAATTCGGATAGTCACAATGTTACGTTTTTCTAGAGTGTTTAGTGATATAAGGACAATTTTTCAACGCACTAATAATATCCGTTGGCTTCGGACGGGTGAGTAATATATGATCAAGTTGAGTTTCGTAAGCGAAAATGACTTGTGCAAAAAGATGTGTTTAAAAGTAAGATGTGCACAAGTAAAGATATCGACAATAAGTTACAGAAAAATGTATAATGTTTACTTATGTAGTTCATGCATATATACGTTAATGCATCAAGTAGACCATACGTAAGTTCACATGACTGAGGCATTATAAAAAGGAGGAACTTATGGAAAAGTATTTACTGACGCAATGGAATTATCTGAGCGTCCACCTTGTTGTAAAGTGTGCAGTTCTTCTGTATCAATTTTGAGCCACATTTGTATCGACATATTTCCTGATGATTTCGTTATAGCAGTAAAATGCGAAGTAAAACAAACAGTAGCTCCTTGTCTTTATATTCGTTGGTATTATACATAAGAAAGATTTAACTAGGTTTTTATTACAATAATCCAAACTATACAATTTTTACATGATAATCCAGATTATACCCTTTTTTATACAGTAATCCTGCTTATACATTTTTTTTATACAATACACCTGATTATACATTTTTAATGATCAATTCCATATTTTAATTTCTCCGACATTTGTCGTTAGGTAGATAAAATAGATAAAACGGCGTTTTTAGACTAGATTTTCTGTCATCTTTTGACTGTCCAAAAATAGACAAAGCAAATGACCAAGGTGTCGGAGAAAGGCGTTTGAAAAGAAATAGTGAAAATGAAGTTGACCATTGTTTGAGGAATATAGAAAATTTTGGTAACTGAATATTTGAAAATTGAAGTTCCTAGATTTTGTTTTATTTATTCTCTATGGATAGCTTATTCTTTATAGGAAGAAAACGACTGGGTATAACTTACCACAGTATGCGTAGTTGGAGGAACAAGCATTTATATTTACACATGTCAGTAACAACTAGATATCTACATCAAAAAGCCATAACTATTTCTTCATGTTTTTGCAGAAACGTTGGAAAACAAAACCCAACTACAAATGAAGCTAAAACATCGATGTCAAAATATTTCTCTTGTGGTGAGTCATACCATGTATCTATGTTTTCGTTTAGCATATGTTTTCATTTCAGAATATTTTATTGTCTTGTTGTTGATGACAAATGGAATTGGGCAACAGGCAGAGCCTATGGAAGCCCTCTCCATACAACTTAAACAAGTACACTGACACATCAATCAAAATTAAAGATATTAAAAAAATATCGATAGCATTACAGGAATAAGAATTTAGAATATAGATTCAGATGAATAATTATCTAACAGAAATGTAAGGCAAGCATTACCATCATATACATTACAGTGTTAGAGAGTAGTAAGATTAGATAGGTAATATAATTATATATAACAAGATGGGTCAAAGTTTGTCAATTGATCACGGCACAGGCTGCAGGTTCAAGCAGTCCATATACCCACAATCCTGAGCCAAGTCAGTAAAAATTGACAGTGGGACCAAACTTCAGATAACAAATTCCAATTAAAAATAGAAAAAAAAATAAAAATAGAAAAAAATGTTTAGCATATATCGTCAGTTCATCTGAATACGCAATTTCAAAAGTCTATATAAAAGATAATGACACAACTGCACTCGCTCACATGATGTAATTACACTCCTGAACATTATCAGGTATACGAAAGGTCACTTAAGTATAGTACCAGCAAGGGCAGAAAATATATATAAAATGACAGTCACGTACAGCGACTATACATGCCTCGTTCTGAAATCATTTAAACATCGAAATGTTGGCTTTGTGACTGTGTTTAAATCTCTCATGTCGTGAGTGTTGTAAATGCTGAAAGCAGATGAAGACATGTTATGAAATGTAGCATCAAACCAGATCAATCAGGTGAACAAGAATTACAAGGCCTAGTCAACATGAAATAAACCTTACATACTTTACAGCAAATGGAAATCAGATGGTTTTGAATATAGGAAGTCTTCAAAGAAAGCCTGGGATTTCTTAGGAAAATATTTAAAATGCTGGGGCCTTATTCTCGAGATTGTATATTTAACACAAGAAATAAATTTCAACAAAAGTAATTGTAATAAAAAATGATACCAAATCAAAACTGATATTGTTTGTCATGCGTTTTGTTTTAATATCATATAATGCTAAATGTATCAGATCAATACAATCTGAATTGATTGGTTTCTCGTCGAGAACCACAGGGGAGGCTGAAGGAGACAAGATGTGTCCATCATTTTGTCCTTCCATCTGTCCTTCTATCTCTATTTCCATGACTTGTCACTTGAACTTCATATTTGGGTTATGGGTTCGCCATTATAAGGTGGTGTGCCATGTATCACAACTAAATCACTCTGAAAACATGTTGATCCACATCAAAGAAACAAATTGTCATGGTCCTAATTTAACTACTGGTCACTGGAACTTCGAACTTGGGATATGGTGAGGTTGTGTTATATGTATCAAACGATGCGGTGTGTCATGTATACACACCTAAGAAAACCTTTGTCTGGATCATATCGTATAAACTATTAATCACTGATATTTGACGTTTGTTTGAAATATCGATCATGTTATAAAAAGACTCTTAAATTTGTTTTTATGTAATATGTTATTTATTCAACGTTTGAATGTTATATCGCTCAAGGTTCTCTAAAATAGACAAATAAACAAATAGACTGGTTTCATAATATTCACATATCAAATGGAAGCTAATGTAGGGGAGATAATAAATTCAGGTCGTTCTACCCAGAAAGTTAATTATCAATAGTGTATGAAATCTGGGCCGTTATACACGTAGAGAAACTGATATAAAGTGTTTGAAATCAGGTCGTTTATAAATACTGATCAAGAGTGAATGAAATCATTCAGATTACCAACAAATCCGTCGTCTCTGCAATGTATTAGAATAGGTTTTTCCCCTATTTAAATATCGTAGCTATGACAGAAATACATAGAAGACTGTTTACATCGTCCTCTACCTCAGATTGACAAAGGAAACAAGTATTATTAAAATACAATTTTTAGCATTAAATTTAACTATGTGAGTCTTTCAGCACAACTTCCACCAAACAGCTGTTAGCATAGAAGCGATTAATGTAGCTGAAGATAAAAAAACTCTGTCTCTTCAATGGGAAGATGGTGAGAAGTCAAGGTAAGTTAAATAATAAAACGCTAAACTAGGAAAGATCGCAAATAAATCATAACTTTCACTGAGAGCTGTTTCAGTATGTTTTATTATTAAGTTACAGAATAGAGATACAGTGTGTCAAATAAAAGAAGGTTTCAGTTTTTAATTTTATAGTTCAATGCTTCGGTCTCTAGTTATTAGGAACACCAGATGTTTTGCGAACAATATTTGCAATTTTCGACTATTTCAGTGTTTTCTCTTTATTCATTTACAACATATTGTGATAAGGTATTTGATTCGATCGTAATCTTTAGTACACGATTCACACTCTAGAAACTGTTGCGTGGACTTAAGATTTATTAGGATGTCTGAATATCTCTATATTGTAATTGACCTTTCCACTACTATATTCTAAACTTGCATTCTTATCATTGATCTTGAAGCATAATGTATGGGATTAAAAACGCCACTTAAGTTCATGTTTCAGATAAGATAACACATTGATTATTTATGGTCGATAGAGTAAACTAATCACTTGAAGACTATGTTTCTCATCTGAATTCCACGAAATACCTTGTACCCATTCTATTCATCTACTTTTCTATGAGTTGATATTTTCAATAATTCCGTTTCAAACACATGCAATTGTTGCTCAAAGTAGAGATTTTGTGAGCAAAAGTTGTAACCGAAGTACACAACTGATTTAGCTTTTACTTTGTGCAGTATTTCTCAATGACATCTCCTAGCTATGCGTTGTACAGGGTCTAGGCAGTCATTGCAAGCATAATGCGATATGGTTCCAATGAGTCTAACAGAATTCTTGAAGTCTGGTGGTTATGGTAGCATCTTTACTGAATACGGACACTTGTCGAGAGCAGAGGGTGATTTGGAAAATTGAAATGCTGATATATTGATTTTATCCACTTTTCAATGCATTTTCATAACAATAACCATTCTTTCCGTCTGTAAAGTTGTCAAAGTACTTGATCTTTGCAGATGTAACCGAAATAGAATCAATCGTGAACAGGAAACAGGTTTTATGTTTTGTCTCATTGGATATATATATATATATATTGAAACTATGTTATTTTCTTAAAGATTTCACAGTAAGTGGCTGCGATTTAATTGTCGATGCAACAAATGCATCGACTATGCAAGTAATTCATGGATCTGGCCTGCCAATGAAATACCACTGACACTAACATTAAAGACTGTCACCTCAAAAGGTAAACATCCGCTCCAGTAGCTGAATAATACTGTGACATGTTTTCATTTTGATTCTAAAATGACTTAACCAAGACCAACCAAGAAAGGTAAACCTGGCTTCCACTTAACTTTTGATTAACATAAAAATAATATTGAAATAAATCTGCAAACGAAAAAAATAATTTCTGATTTAATTACATTTAAACATTAGCTGTCAAATATAACTTGGATCATATGATATTTATCAACTGCCATTGACATGAAAACAATTAAAATTCTAGAACCTATCTTAAATATTGAAGCAATTATTCAGTCTTTTGAGAATTGGGTTCATGATAAGATATATGTTAATATGGTAGTCAGTTATTTTGAGTTTGAACAGTGAGTGCTTGAATTACCAACATCCATTTGTTGTTCAAGAGAATGGTGATATCCAGGTCCAATGGAATGAGGAAGATCATGAAGGGATACTCACCACAGAACATCTGCTAGAACATTCCTATTCCAAGGAGAATCAACGACGTTTAAGAGATCAGGCAAAACTTCAGTTCCACTCTGATGTATGTAGAGATGATATTCTCTAACAAGTCTATTTTGTTAACTTAATATAATTCCGTTTTACTCATGTTGTAGTGACGCTAATGTTCTTTTCCTGTCAGTGAGAGATGAGACAACTATTTCATTATCTATATCATACCCAATATTTCGAGATTCCACTTTACGTCTATATGTTGAGACTTCTTAAACATTCCAATAACTGGTTCGATAACAATCTTACAAAATAGTATAGGCGTGTACCTGTAGGCTGATTACTGTGTGCAATCATTCTGTTATTAATGATATTATGATTATGGGATGTTTAATCAGAAATCTGTTGAGCTGGTCAATAATAGCATGAATACACTTATATTCTGACATGAAGTTTTCTTGGGGTTTTTTAGATGACAATACCTGTTATATCCTGGAAAGATGTTCAGTCATCTGAGGATTCATTATACAGGTATGTCTTTATTGCATACAGTTTGTATATTAAGGATATTTAATGGCAATAATTTTGATAGAAAATTGTTAACGAATATGACAGAATATAGAAAGCATGTAGCATGTACGAGTAAATAATCCCTTTATATTCAGCTATTTTATATCCTGCTTACTACTTCCAACGTTTCTGAGAAAAGAGCGGTAAACAAATCAGTGGATGTTTTAATATTCATATCCTAACGTTTCACAACAAGACATCCGCCACTTTACGCAATACGCTGTGTTATACTGTTTTCTGATATGAACGTGTTTGTAAGATTACATTGACCTGTAACTCATATGTAATTTCCCTATCAAACAGGTAAATATCGTAGTCGGAGGGACTTTTCAACATAGACTTAAACAACGTGACCTTATTAATATACATGATATATTCCTTACGTCAACTTAAATTTTATATTGTAAAGGTGGCTTAGAAATATAAATGACCAGGGAATATGTCTACTGACGGACGTACCAACCGAACACCACTATGCAAGAAACGTAAGTCAATTTATGCTTTATTTTCAAATGTTCATACACTATTAATCGGTACACAAGTTAAATGTTTCGAGATTCTGTAAGCCATAGCAATGCTGTTTTCTCTGATTTCTATCGGTGTTATACTGGTCTGTTCAGAGCAATATGCTAAAGGTTATAGACTGTGTATTACACGTCAATCCTGTCAACTATTTACAGAAAATGTTTTAGGACGTTTTCAAATACATAGTGTCCGTTATTTAATTTTTGTTTCTCCAAAAATTAAAAAGGCAAACAATGTTTAGATTCTAAGTTATAATAAGACAAAACTATATTATATCGTACATCCGGAGATGAAAGTTGAAAGATGAAAGAAATTGAGCGCGTCAATGTTGAACGTACGTTGCCTAAAACAATATGATACATATAATGACTGTGAATGTTTTTATTTTCAAACAATGCCTCTATGTATGTTGTATCTCAAATCTTCTTCTTAAAACATTCTAGAACTGATGTTGTACATAAAAACTGTAAGATACCACATAATTAAGGTTGCACAATGCTATAAATGAATACAGTATTAAAGCGTAACAAGTTTGCTTTTTTACACTTAAAAATACATACGTATTAATGATGTAGGTTCTTTGTGGTAAAGTCTGTGTTTCTTGATTATCTCACATTCCGTAGGGAGTACAATATTCACATTCCATGGTGGTTTTCGTAAATTATTGATATGTTGATCAATTATATTAGTTTTTCCTCATTTTAGCATCTTCATTGTTCACATTTTCCAAGCATTTTGAAATATTTAAAGATACAGATCAAAGATTGAAAATTTGAGAGAAATACTTTTGTAATATGTGTAAATGTTGACTCGTCTATTATCACATTTTGTTACCTCAGGTATAATATCCTATCCCATATACATATGAAAGAGTGGTATGATATCATAAAGGAAAATGGCCATATCTCTTATCTAGTCGGAAATGATACATCACTACAACGTCTTTTAATAGGTGCTGAATAAGATCGGCTGTCTGACAGGAACCTTATACGGTGAGGTTAGAAAAGTTTTTTCCTCTCTATTCAATTTTTCGTAATTGACTTGTAGATGTATATGGTGTTACGTTTTTGAAGTTGTTTACTTGAAACTTCAGTGTAGCCAAGTTGAGAAAATTACATGCAAAATGTGATATGACACTTACAAAAGGTAGAAAACATTCAATGCAAATTGCAATAATCATTTGATATCGTAACTATTTATTCTTCCTTTATGAAATGCCAACTATTTAAACTAAAAAGCATTATGCAATGTACATCGAAAACATGTGAATTAACGCAAAGGTAAGTCATATTTGCGATTTTCTACAACATATATTTTACCTGAGAACGACAATTTTCAATGTCCCATTTAATCCAATTAGCGACTTGTTCCAAATAGTAGGACACCCTTTGATATTGTAAAGAAGTTATGCTCATGGACATTTTCGATGACATCATCACCACCACTACCATCATCATCATCATCATCATCATCATCATCATCATCATCATCACTGACAACTAAGGACTACCGATAGTTCCTCCCTGTTTGTATAAAGATTCGTATAGGTTATCGAACCTTGATTTGATAAAACGATGTCTTGAAAGGCTCTACTTATATTTTATATTATTGATATGTGCTGCAACAATCAAAGTTTTATGAAAACAACTTTTGCGTTCCAATCATAACAAGACAACATTCTCACGCATATTTATTTTCCGTGTGTATGTTCCAGAAATTAACAATACTAGCTAGCATTTGTTACATAGAAAAACGTTGTGCCTGAATGTACACAGGTTGGACTGCATACTGAAGTAGACAATTTTGCTGTGGTCATGTCTTACCCGCTATAGAAAATAAGTAAAATCCAGAGCTCTGCGCTTTAGTCTCTTTTTATTGAGTGCTGGATAAAAGACTCTTCTTGTCTTACAAGATCGTTATTATTCGTATGGGGTATCTCTTCTGCTACCACATATGTAGACGTCCTCATCCATAAAGTGTGGCGTTTCCGGAATATGGAGCCCTTACGAGGTCAATATGTGCATATGATGTGATTTAACGTGACTTTAGTACTAACGATCACACACGACAAAAGCCCTTAAGTTGTTGTGTTAAATGAACGACTTTCGAAGTATTAAGTGTAACTTGTCCTGTTTGCTGTTATTTATAATATTGAAACACACTATTTAAATGTTATGTAAATGACAGATCTGGGACGTCAAATTGCATAAGAAGATCATAAACGCTGCGTATGGACGTCAGGCTCTTCTCTTCCACACGGATCTGGCCATATACGAAGCCCAGCCCGGTGTACAGTTTCTACACTGTTTAAAGTAAGTTGTGTGAATCTGAAAATAGAAGAGAACATTTGAAAGTTGTTCAGAAATATTTAAGTATATTCTTGATTGGATTTCTTTTGTATATAAATGTGTAGAAATGAAAAAATAAAAGACATGATAACAACTCGACAATGAATATGTGTTTTAAGCTACATCATAATTGTCAATATATCATGATAACCTGTCCAACCAATATGCCATTTCTGTTACTATGATTACAGCACTGTATAGTCATGCATTACATTTCATTATCAATCGTTATGAATGTTTCAAACTTATGATTTGTATTTTCTAATAGTAAATAGGAGTTTGCATCTTTACTGGTAATAAAACCTTACTTTTAACATGAAGACTCTTGTCGTAATATTACAGAGATAACAACATCACTTTTGAAACCATAGCATGATTTTGACCATGCTGATATATTCTCTTTGAGTAATCGTATGCGCTAATTCATCTAAGCATAATCGTTCTACCTATTTTTCAACAAGATTTGATGACTCGTTAGAGGGTGGTGAAACCCTTTTTGTTGACTTATATCACATTGCTAAGAAATTCCGAGAAGAATTTCCAGAGGAGTTCCGTATTTTGACTGAAGTTCCGTTTACATTCAACAGGATTCATTATGATCGGTAATATTGTGATTTATCTATGTTCACTGATATATTTCTACTTACATGAAACGTTTACCTATTTCATGATATAGTTCAAAGAGAGAGACTAATGAAATCAGAGTTGGTTGTGAGGTTAACTTGTGACTAAATCTAATTCTTGACATTATGTTCCTACAGCCTCCTACCAAGGCGAGAAAACAAACATGCATTAACAAAGAACAGTATAATCGATTAAACACGTCTCGTTACTTTTACTATCACTATGATATAAGAACGCCATTCTTAGAGAACCATTATCGGCTCCACTTCATGATGACATTGTTTGTTGTACTTCAGGCTAATGTTTCATTGCTGAATTATGTAATTTTTCAAATATCAAATTAATCAGAGATAAATGATTAATATCATGATATATATGGTATTATGCTGTACCTGTTTATTTTACATATATAACCTTAACAGAGAGAATCCTGTCCATATGATTCTCAGAAGGCCGCTGATATCTCTTAACGACGAGAACCGGGTAAACATTAGTTTACTTGTAAAAAGATTAGATTATCAGTTTTTTAAAATTTCTTCCTTGATATGTCATTATTTGTAAACGATTGTGAACTCGCTCTGCACTTTTCATTGTTCAATTTAAGGTCAGTAATTTCAACTACAAATGGGACCCATTTCACCTTGATGACGTTATGAACGATTTAATGAATGAGTGACCGTAAAAGGATAATTTATTTTCGCCTCTTTTTCAGATCAATAGTATAACTTGGCATGAACACGAACTTGGACCTCCTCTGGTGAATGAGGTAAGAACTACATTTCATATTAACAGTTTAAGTAGAATATTATTTTTCTTGTTAACTACCAACCGATATAAAACTATTTCATGACCAAATCAACATAATATTTTAAAATTAGATATTCATTCTGGTAGTGAACGTACTGAATAAAACACTTTCATTGGTGTATGACATCTGAATAAACAGTTCATGCTTGATGTTTTGATATTCGTTAAAATAGATTATACCTTATGTATCATTTTAATAATAAGTTAGATATGGTATCAATTTTAGTCAAGTAAACTGATTCTTAAGATTCTGATAAAAATAATGCCAAAGATAGCATTGATCTATAGTCACTGTTACAGTTATAGATCTTGTGACAATTATCAACAACGTTCTTCCGTAAACAACCTATATAGATATCGCAACATACTGGAGATTGATATTATCCTGTTTCATCATTGATCAATGTTTCATCAATATATAATTATGTCATTCAATATAATGTTCCTTTATCATATTACAGAACAATGTTGAAGAGTTCTATCGGGCCTATCAGCTTTTCGCCAGGGCTATCAATGACTTCCCTTACAGGGTAACCATTAATACATATATATGTGTATACGTGAATTGATAAGACACATAGATGTAGACAAAACCAGTTAGTGTGGTTTGTGCAAACAATTAATCAATATGTCTCTCTACTTAAATAGAACATCGATTATTTACTCAAATATGAGTAGACGTTAGCATATCGTTGGAATTGAAATAACACACAGATGTCATTTAATGATGTAGTATTTGCGATAACGATACAATACAACACATAATACTGCTGTATCCTATCAAACAATGCCCAAACTACGATAACAAATGTAGCTGATACGTGTCTTTTCTCTTTATAAGAGAGTCATACGTCTTCGGAAGGGTGATATGATCTGCTTCAATAACAGACGACTTGCTCATTCAAGAAACGCATTCACTGGAGAGGGTGAAAGACACTTACAGGTTAGATAACAAGATTCACTTGATAATAAAATGGTTTTAAAGCTGTATTAATACTCAAACCTGGATGTTTTCCGCTGATAAATGAAAATAATATACTGTTTGTTTGTCTTTATTAATTGCCATATCTCTTCCGGTATTGGTCTGTTTCCAGGGGTTATTATTTTCTACTATGTTTAATTTTAACTGATGTTACGATTCTATCCATAAAGGGTCTTATACAATTTTTCATACTTTAAACTAAATTGCTGTTGCAGGGTTGTTACGTTAATTCGGACGACTTCAAGAGCAAATTGATGTACCTATCACACAAGTTGGACAATGGTAGAGCTGTGTGCCATGTTGGCAATACTGACTGGACCTAAGACAGCTGCATCACATGGAAACTGACCTTAAAACATGTCAGAATATTGTATTTAGCGGGTCAGAGCATCACACCTTCTCTTAAAAATATATGAAAATCTAACTGAAAACTATAACCATAGTAATATATATATATATGAAACTTTATTTTTCATGAAAACCGTATAATTGTACGTGATACCAAGACTTGGTTTTCTTTAGCTTTCTGTAGAATGAATTCTATATTGTATATGATATTACATGTACTCCGTTTCATGGAACTGTCATCCCCACCACGGGATTAAATAAAGATCTAAGATATTGCTATATCAAATATGGAAAGCAAGCGTCAGTGTATATCAAGACTTAGTATATAAATAAGCCCCAGTGTATATCAAGGATTAGTATATTAACAATTCCCAGTGTATATCAACGAATGATATGTAAACAACATCCAGTGTTTATCCAAGATTAATATGTAAACAGGCGATATTGTATATCAAGTATTGATAGGTTAAGCAGCGTCTGTGCAGTGTTTTGTGGAACTACGATTCTGTATGAACAAAACCACCGTTGAGCACAGATATAAGTTGTGGTGACTAGTTAGATGGTGGCGAAGACCTAATACATCACTTCGTCTGTTTACAATAGTTTAATTTCCATTTCAAACAATTTTACTGACAAATAAACATATACGGTACATCAAAACAGTCCACTCCCACACATCACAGTGGTACGAGAAAATACATTAGTATACAATATTGTCAGTAGATGATTATAATGTAATATAACACAAGGGAAATAACTCCTATCTACCTGATTTGATTTTGTTTAATTATTGTATTTGGACCTAAGAACTTATTGGCTTTACAATTGTTAACTTCTACTAAAATACATGGAAATTACTTCTGTATACGTGTATTTTATTTATCACTAGGCTATAAACTGGTAGACATTTGTTGAAAATTAATTTCTTCGACTCATCAGATACAGGCAAAAAGTCCAGTTCACTATCATCAAGGCCAGAAATTCTATCTGAACAAACAGAATTTTCTTTTCATTTTTATTACAAATCTCGCAACCATTGGGATATGATCATTTGATAGATAGTAATGAGTTTGATATAATATGACTCGAATATTTGTGTAGCAAAAACGTAACAAAAAAGAAAAAATAATGCGACGTTGTTTCAGTTCTGAAGCAACATGCACATTATCCTGACTCTGATACATGATTTAAAAGAATTTCTTTTTTTCCAGTAAATTAAAAGACTTCATTGTGAACAAAAAATTGTATTGAGAAAGGGGTAGGACATTTTCTAAACCTTAAGCAATATCGCTGAATCAATTAAGCATAGACGGAAATAGACTCTTAAAGAAGGTAATGTTTCTAAAAATACAAAGATGATATCTATCGAGAGCTAGTTCTCGCAGATGTGACTCAATAATTATTTTCAGATAATTTTGGGATTGGATCATTCGTAATTATATACATCATTAATTTAAGTTGTTTCTTCGGAAATGTAACATAAATCCTGTCTAATTGTACTGATCGAATAAGTTTGTGTTCGAATATAATAAGCAGTTGTCACATACAATATCAGCATATTCAAGTAAAGGTCTTATATATAAAAATGAAAATTGTTGTGTCTTTCATCCAAAGCCTATGTTTATATATCGCAGTTCATTCGATATTCAAGGGCCTGTTCCCAATATCACGATTTTTTATTCTTGTTAAAGTAAAGAGAGAGGAAGAGTTTGGCAGAAAGCAATCAAAATATAAATTTGATCTCTAACATCTTGCTGTGTTATTGTCATGTCATGAAGAAGATCGAGAGTGGATATACAGAAAACTATACATCAAGACGTTCTGTTTTATCAAAAGGACGTTGGAAAAAGGAATCTTCGTGATCAAGGATATTGTTAACTTTATCATTAATGATAAATACATCTTTGTGCTATTTTATCTGATATATTTTGTTGTAATTTCTCAGTGTAATTTTCCTTTGCTTGTCGTATCTTAGTACTACCGAAGTCTACAGTAAGTAATTATGTCAAGTAACCATGTATAAATGGTACCAATGTTACATCATTATATCAAATATGTTTGACGAGTTCTACTTGTTCAGTTTTGGCTACCTTGACCATTCATCTTTTCATGAATTACTTATCCTTGTTAGAATAGTATATATAATAGTACCCTTTCTGTATCCGTACCAGAGAATATCCTCTGTACGTATCACACACAAACTAATAAACAAGAAACAATACATTACAAATGTGGACTTACCTCATCCTCATCCTTTTTCGGAACATATCGTTACGTGCGCAGGGTTCGGCACCTGTCTGGTCCATCCCAAGTGTATTCTTAGAATGTGCTGTGCAATGATAGCGTAATTAAATTGATAACCCTACGGCACACTGACCAAGTGTGACAAGTAAACTATCGACCCCATCAACAAGGAATTAGAAATAATTACATATGATTCCCGATAATAACGACTCAAATAAACAATATACCACTTATCAAGAGAACAACACCGGACTACTTGCCACGGCCCGAAAATACAACAAACTGCAAACACAATATACGCACTGGTCTCTTGCGCGATTGCTACCTTGCAAAGGCGCTCTACCACTTGACTAGCCACTGCGCACCAGCTATATATGGCTTAGCTACTGCACCTTAGTTATTGTCTAGCCTATGCGCTCAGGCATCACTGCGCTACAGTCAGAAAAACCCTGGTGTTCTAAATGGTCTGCCTTCTACGACCACTGGTAACTTGTTCAGAGACCTTACCACCTAAGGAATACTGAAAAGACTTAAAAAGTCTTTTCCCCCAAAGACTTCTTCAGCTTTTGCTTCCTTAACTAGATAATTATTTATAATTACCTAGCTTCTACAGTTTTTTCCGATTACTTCTCTGGCCATTTTCCTCCAGAATTCTCTCTCTGAATGAGTCGAACCCTCTCTTATATACTGTTAGACAAGTTCATTCATGGGTAGGATAGGTTATTCCATTTTCCAGGAAATCCTAGGATAGGTTATTCCATTTTCCAGGAAATCCTAGTCAACTCAACGCTTACCTCAAATGGCTTTTAACATATATAAAACAGAAACGCAATATGCCGATGATTTTACGATGTTTATATGCACAATTTACGGTAAGCTGACAATACTGAAAACGGCACACAATCTACTTTCATTACAATATACTTTGTCGATCTCGTTCATCAAACAAAATTGGAAAAAATAATATTTCTCCTCAATGTTATATATATGTGTTCCTTGGCCCAGGAATATCACAAAGCATATTTTAAAAAAAATATGTTGAGATTTAACTTTATATTAATGTTTTCAAACTCTGCTTCCTCATATGCCTTTTGCTTAGATACAGTATATGCGGTAACTTAAATGGATAAGACAACAATCGGTATTAGTTACAAAGAGGCTGTGGATATAGAAGTAAATTGAGGATGTTCATTAACAAAGGTTATATTTAATCATCAGTCTACCAATATAATTATGAAGTAGAAGATTAGTCATGTTAATGTTTAGATCACCAGTTACAATTATATCTTGGTACAGTTAATTCCATTATAAAATAAGGTGTATCCCACTAACAGACTGGCTTTTCTGGTCTATATATACAACCAAGAAGATATATATGATATTCAATTTGAACCTCTAGCCATAATGTTTCAACATCAATGTTTTATAAATCAAGTCACTTTTGAGCCTAAATATCATTGTATATGATAAAATAGCACGCCACCTACAGGGTCGGATCTCCTACCAACCGATCTAATGTCAATAAGCACCAATAGAAATATCAGAATCTACAACTTCTGGGGAAAAGTGGGTTGCAGTAAGACATGATTTTGTTCTCTTTCTGTACTATTAATTTGATTTCTTCATGATGTAACGCTTAGATGTGATATATCAAAGGTGTGCAGGGGCCCCGGATTTGGTTCAACGTCACTGGAAATTAGAAATAATTTATTAATAATTAATTAAATGAAGTCCATTTTTTCTAAGGAGAATATTATTCAGCGGAATGGTATTGACAAAACTACAGTAAGAGAAATAAATAGGGTTGTAATTATTCATTTCAGGTTCCCATTGTCTGTCAAATATATAAGAATATAGACATTTCAACCATTATCAAACACGGAGTTCGTTGGCGACTTCGATGAGAGACACTCGTACACCTGCCTTCATCATAATGCTGGTTTTTGTTTAATTCAATAATACACAGAAAGGAGTGTGAACGTTGAGAGACAAGAACAAGAGGGTATAGATGTTGTATTCGGTAGTACATTATGAAACTTCAATTTACTCTGTTAACACATACAGCCATATAGAAAATACAAACATAATAAAAATAAGACATCAGTTGGTTACAACTACCAAAACTGTTATAACAGGAGTACAAATTTTAAGATATTGGAAATATTCAATACCCGAGATACCTTTTGTTCAATTTACCACGAACATCGATAAATATATATATACCTCTACCCAGATGAAGCCTTATTTGCTGAAATGAGACTAATATTGACCGAAATATTAAGAATCAACATTAAACGAAACTTTCACTTTTCAATGCGGAACGTACATCAATATCAATCAATGTCTTGTTAGATATTCTTGTACTATCATATATCTAAGATTTTGTTTTCTTTTTGTGATTAGGCTGACTAGATTTCATTTATCTATTAACTATACTCGGCGTCAATGAAAACGCAACACCTTTAAATTACTGTCAAAATTTACCAGTTATAGTTTTGAATACAATATTTAATAAAATACCTAAAAGTTGATTATGTCCATAACAAAATTCACTCAATGCAATCAGCACTACATCATGGGAATACTTTGATTTCCGGTGACTAATGTCCATACCCCCAAAATCAAAATTACCACGTTCAATATCTAATGTGGCCACCATTTGCAGCGACACAAGCGCGGCATTTTCGAGGCATTGACCGAATAAGGCGTTGAATTTTGATTTGAGGAATGT